ACAACAACAACAATGGCGACAATGCAGTGTCGCCGCGAGTGACAGCGCTCCGCTGACAGCCATTACTCGCTTCATTTTCGTGCATTAGTGCTGGTTGCAATTGGTGAATTTAATAACGACAGCAACTACAACAGAAGCAGCAGTGTCAACAACCAAAGTGCATGACTGGCGCTAAACTTTTGCTGCGACATTTTCCGCGTGAGTGACACACTTCAGCCACTTTCCCTGCCACACCAATCGTTGACGTTTCTCCGCTTATGCGCTGCTGTGTCTTTCTATGCACTTCTATGTTTCCTCTGTGTGCATGCGTGTGTATGTTTGCCATGCATCTGTTGGTAATGCAACAATTTTGGCAGTGTGGCAGCTGGCGCCACTTGCATGATTTACTGTCGTGTGTCGACTTTCTTAGTTGCAGTTTGGCCAAGTTGCTGATACTTTGTTGATCTCTGTGACAGAAGTGAGTGCATTGATGCTGTTGTTGATTTTTCTATATTTGCTTACGTTGACTGGCAATTACAATCACACTTCATACACAAAGCGACAGATTTTTATTTAAACTTTTTTTTGTGCTCCTTTGAAGTTTGCAACATAGCATGGTTAGCTGACGGTGCTACATGGCGTATGAGGAATTGTGTTTGTTTATTCAACTGAAGATGTGACGGAGAAGCCGTGATTTATTTTATTATTTTTAGATACATATATGTATATCGAAAAGAATAACAAATAGTTAAACCAGTAGAAATAAAATGAAGAAAAAAAGAAAAAACATTAATATAGCTCAAAGAAACAATTTCTTAAATTATATCCTTAGAATAAAACCCAATTAAAAAGGTATCCCACATAAAGCTAAATTATTGTACTTACATTAAAACAACCTGAAGGCAAAGGCATATATATATACAAGTATATATCAAGAAAAGAAGTAAAACAAGTAAACAGGTGCATTTCTTATAGCAAAAATTGGATAAAAAAATCTTTAACTTTAATTGATTTTATACGGTCAGTTTGTACGGCAGCTATATGCTATAGTGCTCCGATTTGGACAATATACACGAATAATTTTTCCTTACTCGCTTACTTAATTTACTCTCAAATTTAGGTATTTTTAAGAGATTAACATCTTAGGAATTTTCTTCGTTTAAGCGAATGGTTGTCATCTGAGCTAAAATATTCACTCTGTGAGTTCAAGCTCCGATAGAACATAAAAGAAGCAACAAAGTTCTTTATATCTGCGCAAGTTTGGCGATATGCAATGCCAATCCTCAGAGTGTATTTTTGACTTACCAAAATATCTCTTGAAATCAGCTATAAGCTCATTTGAGAACCTTATGGCATTGACTTGGAACAATTTTATCACATATATGAAACGAGAAAGACGGATGATGACATTAAGGTCCAGCCGAATTACCGGTCCAATAAACAAATTGTAATTGAACTGGATATATGAACAAAAGCTTGATATATGTGACCCCTACTGACTACCCAATACGGCCAAGTGTTCAACTCTGCTGTAATAGCATGATATTGGGTTCAACTAGGAGTCGTGAGTAGGTAAAATCCTTGCGTTCATAAAATATTGTAATCTATTACAGAATACTCTAATCAGTAGATGAACTGCAGGGACTACTGGGATGTCAATCGAGACAAACTGGAAAGTGCTTTAAAATGCCTTTGAGTCGGCAAAACCGAGGGTTTGAATCAGTTGAGGTTAATAACGGGCCACTAACCAATCGAGACTCAAACGACTATATGTCCATACTAACAACAACGTAAGGTCATGGTATGGAATTATCTTGTCTCGCTTTGGTACTAAATCTAGCTTTTATGCTGTCCAAGTGCAAGCCAAAGAGTTTTGAATGTACAGTATGTCTAGGATTTATCATTTAAATGTGTTGTTTTCTAAACACGACCTTATGTAGATAGCTGTATATATTTATTTTTATAGATTTATATCGCCCTTGCATTCCATAGACATAGGAATTACAAAATCAAGTAAACACCTACTCATCATAATAAATTAAATCATGCCACAAATAATATTGTAATGGTTACATTTAAAAAAACATTCCAAAAATTTATTTCTACACACAAACACACAAAAATATAAACACACTACAAATATTATTGCCGCAAAGACCCTCAAAAGTGGCCCACGCAAATCGTATGCAAAAAAACGAAATTTTTTAGACCCTTAGTACATTAATACAGCGGCCACAACACGCGCTAGTCTACATACCCAAAGTAGAATGCTAATGGAAACACCCTTCAACACCTTACACACCACCGCCATCGCCACCGCCGATGGCTCACCGACTTACCGGCTGCCCAATGTTCCAACTCATTTTCTGCTACCTCGCTGTTTCGCTCATTTTCCTTTGGAATTCCAAAAATTTGCCAATTAATTTCAATAAAATTCGTGCTTGTTGTTGTTTTGTTGTTGTTGTTCTTACGGGCTGGCGCTGCGCCAAATTCAGCTGCATCTAGTAAATTGTTTTGGGCTTAAATTTTTATTTATAAAAGTGTGTGTAGTATTTTTCGTATCAACACACACACATATATATTGGGATTTGCATATTTCATACTCGCATGCACATACTTATACATATGTGTGTATGTTTGTGTGCGTGCATTTTTATTAGCTGTGCTTAAATTTTCTCGCATTTGTAAATATGAACTCTTTTGCACGGCATCTTTCACGCCTACCGAGTGTATTGGCCTTTGTGATTTGTTGTTATAACATTTTGTTGTTGTTGTGATTTTTCATTTATATATTGTGTGTGTTTTTGTTTGCCATTTGGTGATTTTTTTCAATACTTTTTGTATTTTAATATTGTTGTGGTCGATGTTTTGATAGTTCTTCGATATTATTGATTATAATGGGTGAACTACTTTAGAGAATCATTGAAAGAATGGACTTTAATCAAAAAGATAAACAATATTGAGTCACCCTTTATTTATTTACTATTGCCATTGATCAAATACGTTCTAGATAATATAAATATTTTTATAAAAAAATCTGCTATGTGTTTTGAATCCATTAGTGTCTTTCAGACTATAAAAGCGGTTGTGCACAAGGAGTCCCATACAAAAGCAGTGATTAAGTGGCTCGTTTTATTGGATTTACCATAATATATTTCTTTGATAACTGCGAACAGATTAAAAGTTTAGACACTTACTTCCTGTGAATTTCCTGTAAACTTTTTTGTCGGACATAAGACAATCGTTATAAATCTTAAAATCTGTGCTACAAATGTTTTGTTCGTGAGTTTTTAAGCATTATTTTACTTCCTTTGTTCCAAAATGGTTGTAACTACTCTTTCTACTATAAAAATCATACATATAAAAATCAACAGCAATTTCGGCTGTTAAAAAAAATCCCTGGATTTTACTCTCAGGTTGTAATACTACAGTCGCTATGTCAACTATTTTTTAAACAATCCTGCTGTTCACAGAAAAATGGCTGGATAGTGTGGTTGCAATATATTATTTTGACGAGTATTCTTACAATGGAGCTCCGAAGAGTTTTTGGGAGGCAATTTTTTTATTATTTTTATTTCCTAACTCTACGATAGTGACATCTAAAATGAATATACTGCAAAATTTCAACAAAACCCTGTAGAAACACACAAAGTTCATTCCTCTGCCTCTTTTAATATTTTTCCTGCAGGATAGCCTCACTGATCGACAAAGTTAGCGCAAATTTTTTTTCAAAAGCCAAATACTAAAGTTGTTATGTAGAATATGACGACTGGAGAAATCTCGGCACTTCCTTTTTGCCTGTTTCCAACACCTTCAACCAATTCACATCAGGCTGGGAACGCGTAGGTATTCCCCATTCCTTTTGCGTTTTGACACTGAATCAATGGACCTTACGCGAGCTTAGTAAGCATTGGTCAGCAACCAGCACATATGCGGTTACGAAATACTTCTGACTCATGGAACGTAAAAATTCTATGGAATTCCTCGCTACAAGCAAAATACTTCTTGTTCTGTAGATAGTTAAGTGGTAAGACTAAAAATTATGCCGGCCACCAACCGTTAAAGTTGTATGGAATAGAGCAAAGTAAAACCGTTTAAACATTTCCAGCTTTCACTAGACTGAGGTTGAAAGATCTCCGTAGCCAAATCATCGACAAGCCAGGCGACATGGCCGAAATTATACTTATGATACTAGCCGTCTCAACAAAATTGTGACAGGCTCTAGTCGCTTTGTTGATTTGCGAGGTTACTGCTTGTCCAAATCTTCGTGGCTCCTGTCGGCCAGATTACCTAACCTAACCTAATTTTTGTTCGGTATTATAAATGGCTTCTTTGTAATGGTTCAAGTGTGATCTTCCGATTGAGCATCTGCCTTAATCTCGAATCTAATTTGAATTAATATTTATAAGCCCTTTTCTATTTATTTGATACAGGGGTTGTTGTTTTATCCGTTATATACACCTGTTTATTTTACAGTTGGTCAAGTATTGATAACAAGCTAAAGATCCAGTAAACGAACTGCTTCGATCCATCGTCGCTACGGTTGATCACACAGTTAGCCCAGTAGCATAACACTTTACTAACAGATTGATTTTTCCAAAGTTCTTGGATTAATGCTATTTCTCCTTCAGAGTAAAACACTTCATCAGAAGAGAGAAAGTCATCATCAAATAGTTTTAAAGATCGGCAACGCACAGCCAACGTGCCTGACGATATTTCTTCATGTAGTTACGAAAAAACTTTAAACTTTTTATATTATTTTTAAGACCACCAATTACTTCTAAACATATAAAGTCCGATTTTTGGTTATATTTCGCAAAAAGTTCAGCCAATGTTTGAATAATTTCAGAACGAAGTGTTCTGCTGAAAATAAAATAAAAAAAGTATAAATTTAGAAAAACAGAAAACTATATTTACCTTCGTTTTTGACACTTCGCTTTCCAATTTCCTACTGTGCAACATCTTTCCGCTACTTCAGATATCATTGCATACCTTTAGGCATTTAAAATAATAATTATCTGCTTTTCTTTAAGAATACTAGGTATTTTATTTATATTTTATATTTACTTTTCCATGTCGCTAAAATTGTTATTATTCATTCAACAATTTTACTTAAATTAGGCATATATCTACAAACAACTGTTTTCGCTTAACTAATTATTACATCAATAGGAGAAATTTATATGGATATGCACAATATTCGCCTCTTCGCTGCTTCTTACACTCTGTATCACAACTTTTCCGTATGTACACATATGTAAATATGTATGTAGTAATGTTTATATGCATGCTCATGTGTATATAAATATGAATTATTGCTCTTTCAACTCAGCTGCAGCGTTCACATAACCTGCTTTGCCATTGCTGTTAGCCAACACAGCACGCTGACGTTCCTCCGCCTCAGCCGCCTTTTGTTCGGGTGGTTTTGCCCACTCTTGCAATTCACCCGAAGCCCAGAACCAATAGACGATACAACCGATGAGATAGATACCGGCCGAAATGAAGAACACCGCTTTCCACTCCTCAGCCGTTTTATTCGTGACCAAGTAGCCAGTCAGCATGGGGCTGACAATGCCGGGAATGGTGGCGAATGTGTTACCGATGCCCATCAAAACGCTAGCATGTTGTGGTGCAATATCGAGGTGGTTAACACTAAAACAGAAAAGAAATTCGATGAGCTTGGTGAATTTGAACGAATAAATGTTAAAGCACTCACGCGAAGCCCGACCACGCGAAGGCGCCTAAGCCCACTGCTATAGTAATGCAAACAACCGACCATGTTGGATCCAAGAGGTAGGCAGTAAGAACCATAAAAGTTGTCTGCGCGAGAAAGGCAGCACAATTGAAGTAGCGACGCACTTGCGTGGTTGTTAGAATTTTCTTAATCTGCAGCCAATCAGCCAAGTAGCCCGAGACACCGAGCAGTATACCCATGGCCAGATATGGTACAGCCGAAACGAAACCAGTTTTATCCAGATTAAAGTTGAGTGTGTCTAAAATGGTGAAAAAATTGAAATTACAAAACTATTTACGCCAAGAATATATCGTCAAACCTTTCAAAAATGTGGGCAGTTGCGTTAGCAGCGTGTAGAAACCCCAATTCTCAGAGAAATGCGAAGCGATAATAGCATAGAATGGTTTCGAGGTGAATATCGCCTTCCAGGGATGTTTAATTTGCTTATTGCCGCAATAACCGATTTTCTTTTGTATATATTCACGTTCATCGTCAGAGCAGTAACGATCACGATCCGGACTCGAACGCACCACCAACATCCATATACAGAACCATACTAATCCTATTGTACCGAATACATAGAAGACACTCTCCCAACCGTAAGCCGAGGCTAAGAGACCCGATGAAGGCATAGCTATAACGGTACCGGCGTAATTGCCCGCAAAAGCAATGGAGGCCATGCGCGAACGTTCCAGCGGTGGTGACCAACGCGACCAAACAGCGTGTATGCAGGGGAAGGTGACGCCCTTGAAAGAGTACGTTTAGTAATTTAAGTTAGAAGGAAGTAGAATCTGCGTATTAAAAGCCTATCTTATTGGTTAGAATGTGTTTAACCAACACTCGTTTACATCAAGTTCCCGACTACTTAACTGAGAAGCAAGCCCAAAAAAATTTCTTGCGCTTTAAAAGGTGTATGTGACAGAAAGTTGTAGGGTTCTCTTTCGACAAAAAAAGTTTGAAAACTAAGAGATAAAATTTGACCTAGAAAATGTAATGAGATTTTGTAGAAAGTTTGTTAGAGTTTAGACTTATTTACTGTGAAATTACTTATAATAATTTACTTATAAAATTAGCTCTCATAGCTGGTAACTCTAAAGTTCCGAAATAATTGAGCATTTTGCGGAGTGGACCCAGGTACCACTTCGAATTTTTTGGTATAAATACTAATTTAAGTATCTTCGATGATCTTTAAAACGATAAGAAATAAAGTTTAAGCTTTGTAAGTTTATCTGCTGGAAACTTTTTTTAGAAAAAATGGGTGTTCATAAAAATTTTATTATTTCTGATAAGCTACACTCAAAAAATAGTCACTCCCAAAAAATTTCAAAAAAACCCCTCCGATTCTTCCAAGGCTAACACTTCTTACATATTCACCTCAAAAACACCTTCAATGATGCGCACAGCAAGGAACATTTCCAAGCTATGCTTAGCGGCCAAGGGTGTTAGCAGCGTCAATAGCGCCGTGGTACCGATACCTAAGCCAAATACCTAAAAGAAACATAAATAAAAATAAATATGCGATTATTCAAATTCATGGCAACAGAAACTCAAGAGCGCATGCGCATTCACTCACAATGTTGCCGCCAATTTTGGCGCCAATAAAACCGCCAATGAACTGTGTTGTTATGTAACCATAGAAGAATGAACTCAATATCAGACCTCTCTGCTTCGAATCCCAAGGAAAGTCTTGTTCATACGAGATATTGCCAGCATCATCGATTACTGTGCGATTCTCAGTCATTGCCACAATCGCCACACTAAGGTTAACACGCAGCGAGTAAACATTGAAGAATCCGAGGAATGCCAAGAAGACGACAACATAGCGACGTTTTTTCCAAAATTTCCATGAGAGTGGTACAGCTTCGACTATTTCATTGCTGTTGGTATATAAAGATAGTGAGATAATTAATTTATAAATTAGTAATTTAATTCATGAGATATTCCATTTTTCCAGATAAAACATATTTTTCTCAATCAAGTATTCATAAGTACTCAATTAGTCATACTCAATTAGTAATTAAGTTTTTTCATTGTTAACTTTGTATAATACTTCTTTATCACTATATGCAAAAAAAATTTAATCAACACAATTAAGCAGCAAATTGAGTCGTGTCGTTTGTTATTCACACCGACTCAATTAAATCACTCAAATGGCACTTAAACAAATTTTCGACAATCTTGTCATCTTTAATCTTGTTTATTCTTCTCTACACTTGAAAGATTTTTATTTATTTTATCTGAAGCAATTACGTTCTAAACTAAAAAGTTGATATAGTGGTAATTACCGTCGAAATTTAATTGATTCAATTAACGTCTAAATTTAATCACTATTATTGTCATACCCTTTTTATTTGATTTTTCGTTGTTGATATTTTAGCTGAAACCGAAGGAAATCAATGTAATTAAATTATTGACCCTGTAATGGCAATTAGTAGATTTCCACATCGTAGGGTAAACTGAAAACATTTTAAGTAAAATTACACAAATTCGCTCAAATAATTACTCAATATAAGCCAGATATATGTTTTTGAAAAGCATTTGAAAATAGTATTCGAAAACTGACCTTATGTTGACGTCAGAGTGACAGCAGAGGTTCTCAACATTGCTTATGGATCGACTCAACGCAATTTGGTTCATTTTTTGGATATGAAACATTTCAATGGTAGACTCGTACCAAAAGACCGGGGCTTTTTACAAAAACTAGTTCGAATAGAGGTCGCTAAAGCTAGGATTAACAACGTAGCTGAGAATATCTATGGTACACATTTCATTTAACCAGAATATTTTTTGGATTTATTATAAATGAGTAATTTTGGAGAACGTTTTCTTAATTAAATGCTAAGTTTTGGTTAGACAAATTCCTAACAAACTCTTTATCCAAAATGATTAATATAAACTTATGTTTTTTTTTTTTTACAAAATTTGCCCAAACCCATTTATAAAACAGCTGAATAAAAGAATGACTTTATAAATAAAATGCTACAATTTGTTTGCCAGCGATTTTGTGGTATATCGTTGAAGTGTTGTGGGTGGCGCACATACCTAACCACCATGTTTGATCAGCTGCAGCGGCATTCAAGGCCGTCCGCATGCCACACGCCTTCGAATTCCACTCTAAAGCATGTACCTATGTACAACTATGAATGCCTGCGAAACATGCAAATTACTGGGCTTAAGTCAACAGTTCTACTTGCTGATCTATTTTGTCTAACTTTCGCTTTCGTCGAGACAACAATGAGTTGCTCAGTTATGTTTACCCACTTTGGCGGCAAGTTTAATGAACGGGTGAATGGGAAACTGTTAGCGCATTGTTATCATTGTTGCTGCTTTTGCGCGGTTAAGCAACTGGTTTTCATTGATTTGTTTTTAGTAACACTGTTTAGATATATATAATATTTACATATGTAAATATGCATAAATGCTCCATATATTGTACTTACATATCTACAGGTGTTGTTAATTAAAAATATTGCATTTATATATTATTTATAGGTATATATATACTTATGTAGTTTATACTCGTAAGCAATTTGAAATTGTTTGTTGGAGGCAAATATTTCTTTTGTATGGCTCAACTGTTCTTTTTGCAGTTGAGGCTGCACAGTGGTACGTATTATGCAAAGAATGTCTAAAAAAAATTCCTTTTGATCGATTCTGTAGTTGTTATTTGTAAAAATAAAAATTTTCTTTGAAAAACTCACAATGAAATTTTTAGAGGGTTGCCAACTGTTTCAGAAAAAAATTTCTATATATAAATCTTTTTTATCGATATTGTAACGATTTTTTTATAAAATTCTATTTTTTTTTTTTTTTGTAAAAATCCGATTGAAATATTTTATGGGTTACCAGCTGTTTGCAATTTTATTTCAATAAAATTTTTAAGATGAAAGTACTGTTACAACATAATTACCAAATGGGGAGGTTTAGAAACATTTATAGTTGAGATTGGTATTTTGAATTTCTTGTTATTTTAAATAACCCACATTAAAATTTTTAGAGTGTTGCCAACTGTTTCAAAAATTCCATTAAAAAAAATTCTACTTAATCGATCTTGTAACGATTCTTTTTATAAAATTATAATTATTTTTTGGAAACTTTCATTGGAATTTGTTATGAGTTGCCACCTGTTTGCAATTGTAATTTAATAAAACTATTAAGATGAACATGTTACAACATAAGCAATCAAATGGAGAGGTTTTGAAAGGTTTATAATTGAGATTGTTTATTTTAAATGTGTTGCCACTTGTTTCAAATTTTGTATTAAATAAAATTTATGAAATATTTTTATTATTATTATTAGAATTTGTTAAGTAAAGATGTTTTAGAACGTCAGAAAGGAAAAGTACTTTTGAAGGCGTTGCCAACTTTTAAAAATTTTATATTTAACTATAGTTATTGTATATTAGATTCAGAGAAATATTTGCATATTTGAACAATTACTTTGGGAAATTAAATACAATTTTGTAGTAAGACCATAAAAAAAGTATTTGGGAAATTTGTCATTTTAAAGATTAATATATGTACTTATACATATAAATTTTTTAATATTTAGTTAGTTTGGAAGAACAAGAAGAGATAAGATTGACAGAAACCATTTATCATAAAACTATCCGGAACTATCTGAAATTTGTTTGACAAAAGCCATCACTTACAGATTTTTTATAAACTTTTTAATCGATCCACTGTACCCAGCAATGTATTCGTATCAATATTTGCTAGTTCATACAAGTATAAGTATGTATACCTATGTACTTATTATCTTGCGGTTTATACATTAGACATGCGGAACATTCGTCTATTCAGAAGGCGGACTGCAGTGAATTGGTTTACTGGTCAAACAACTTTTTTTTGAAGCGGAGAGTTAATGACGAAGTGGCGCAATTCAAATATGCAGATATTAAGTAATAATAAAATGTTTACGAGCGCGCGCAAAAGAAAACAAAAAATGAACAAATTAGGTACAAAAAAAAATATAAACATACTTAAATATTAATATATATATATTTATATATAATCGGTTAATCGATAATCTGAGTTTCTTGCGGCTGACTAAAAGTACTGTACATAAGAATATTACATTTGCTGGCTTCACTTACGGATCATGGTGCGCAATCTCCATTTTATGTCCATTGAATTTTTCGCTTTTTACAACGTCCTCCATTGCGGTTTGGTGGCTTACGATTTATTTATTGCACAAGTATGGTTGAGTTTATAATTGAGCTGTAAACCAGAAATTGTTAAGCAATTTACCGCTTTTAGATTTTCGTTGCTGTGATTTTTTGTAAAATGTGAAGTTCTGGTTAACTTATACGAACTGCATTTCCTGTAATTAAATACACAATTTTATATTACAATAATACACATACATATACACATAAGTATACATATGTCTACATTTTTTATTCAATATGAGTATAGTAGCAAATATAAGTTTTATAAATCACGATTTTTCTCGACGGATTTATAAATTTATGGGTGCAACTGAGAGTTTCCTGACCCAAGAAGAATTGCCAATTAATTTTAGAATTCTTCAAATTCATTGAAAAACGAAAAGAACGTTAACCTCGGTTGCACCGAAACTATAATACCCTTCACAAATTAAATAGTTTCCATACAAAAACTTGATTTTGATTGGTTAGTTTGTATGGCAACCATATGCCATAGAGCTTCGATTTGCACAATTTGTTCGAGTGTTTTCGTATTAGCTTGATCAATCATCCATTTCAAACTTCGTGAAGATATCTTGTCAAGTAAAAAAAAAACAGAACTTTAATTTGTTCGTTTAGTTTGTGTGGCAGCTATATGCTATAGTGGTCCGATATCGGCGGTCAGCACAAACGAACAGCTCGTCGTGCTAATCATTTGTGTATAAGTTTCCGTTTCCTTTCTTCTGGGTGTTACAAACTTCGTGGCAATTTTAACATACCCTGTTCTGGCTATAAAAATATTATGTATAGAGTTTCAAAAAGAGTTGCCACCTATATAAAATTTCTAAGGTATATTTTTACCGGAAACTCAAAAAAATTATATCTGAATATTAAAAAGTTGCTATATAAGAGGATGTGTTTTTAATTAAAATAAGATGATGCCAACAAATTGCATACATTTAGAAATACCTTCTAATTTTATACGAAATAACGCAGCTATCTTTTAAAGTACATATGGTAATACTTTTATAGATGTTATGGTAATAATTGCTCCAACGTCACGACAATAATTTAGATCGGAAATAACTGTTGAAAAAAATTTAAAATTTGGTAGCAAAGAGAAATCTCTCTATAGGAGGTTGTAAACTAACTTGCTTAACCGAGAAGCTTTTGTGTGATCCGGCAATTAGATACCGAAGCCAGTTTGAGGGCTTCAGTTTTAAAAAATTCTAAATTTATTTAAAATTCCCCTTTCACTTCTGATCTGCCTCTTGGTATGCTCTGATAAATAAATCTAGAAGATTAGAGCTGTATCCGAACGGCTTCTTAGCAAAAATACGCTTGAGGGTTTAGCATTGTATGCAGATATATGACTGTTTGCTGGAAAAACACACTTGCTTAGGGCAATCAAAAGAGGTACAAGGCTTCGAGGTTCTGCGTAGTGGCTATACGACATGCAGATATGGTATTCAAAATTCCAATACTCACTTAAAAATCGATACATTTTTATTAGTCGATAAAATTTTAACTTCTAAACTAACATTTGTATAAAAAAAATATATTTTTAATGTGGAAATAAATTTAATATCCAGGGGAAGGTTATTACAACTTGGAATCAACGCCTAGTTTTGCTAAGTCTGATGGATGTAGTTAGACTAAAAAGTAAACTGGATGTAGCTGAGCTGGAATCATATACACATCCTCGTTTGGATTGTCTAGTTTTCCATAGATCCAGTTTGAAACGTCTAGAATTATATTTTCAGTCATCCAGGCGTACTTGTTGGCATCGCAATAAGTCGCTCAACAGATTTGTGATATGCTCAAGGCGCTTTGTTGATATATGGTGATTTTTGAGCTATCTTTATGAATTTTTGGTATTAGAATGGGCTGTTTTGAAACTGTTCAGGTATGATTCAGGCATTCTCCTTCGCGTGGATTAGCCTCAGTACTTAAACTCCACTTACCCAGCACATTATATTTCCATAATTATAAATATGTTTGTCAATACAAAACATTTGTAAAATATTTAACATTTTAGAACAAAACGTGTGATTACTTTTTAGTACAGCTGTTTTCCGCTAACAGATTCATCATAAATACATACATATTTATATATTGGTTATTACTAATAATGCAATTTTTTCTGCAGCAAATTGTAAATCAGTTTGTACATTTGCTTTTGCTCGTGAATTTGGTAAATATTTATATTATTATACATATAAGATCCATATGGCCCCTCCTTAATAAAAAAACGGAATCACAGAAACTTCAAATTTTATAAGGAATGTTTATTACCGTTCGAAAAAACATTCTTTGGCATTTATTTTTTGAAAACTATCTCATATCTGACAAATCACTTGACTAATTGGGACCCTAATATTTGCATTATCTCCTTTTAATATGGTATAAAAATGGCTGAAGCGGACTACGACCATGCCTACTTCCAATATTATATAAAGAAAATCATAACAGCATTCTTCTACTCAGTAGATAACTCAAACTTAAGTAAAGATATTGGAACAAAAATCGACATTTTCCAAGCATCAAACTGTAATTAAAAGTTGTGGAAATCGGTATATAGCTTTTTTAGGATCTTTATATCGAATATGTACCGTGCTTCTAGTTGAATTTATACCTTGTAGTTAAACTTAGGTTACTAAAGAAGGCAAACATATATTTTATAAAGATCTTTATCTCGATTTTGATCGATCACAGATCGAATGACAGCTATATACTAAAGTGATCCGATTTGCAAAAGGCAAATTTTTGAAAAAAAAAAAAAAATTTTTAACATCTAGAGGCACTTTTAAAGTAAAGTTTCGATTTAAAATTTTTATTTCGTAAAAATTTTTTGATAAGTGTTAGTAGGAAAGCTGTGCAGAGTCCTCTTTCTGACCCATTAAAAGTTATCAACTTAAAAAATTTTTTGTGGTCATTATTGGAGTTTTAAAAAAAGTCTTAAACGATAACATGCTTTCCTTAAGCGTTAAAATAAATTTTGAGTCAAAAACCGTCAAATTCGGTAATTTTTATATAAATGTGAATAGTTTGAACCAACAAAAAATACTTTTTTGTCAAAAAAAATTTAATTCGAAATTTACTTTAAAAGTGCCTCTAGATGTTAAAACAAAAAATTTTCGAAAAAATGTTTCCAAAAATTTTCTTATTTTATAATATACAAATTTGACCCTCAGGCAAATTAAAAAAAAATATGTTTTTTTTTTCGTTCCTCTCTCATGTATATACCTTACAGGATCTCCGACGTTTTCGTTTAGGTGTTACAAACTTCGTGGTAAACTTAATATGCCCTGTTCGGGGTATAAAGAGGACGCACGCTTGCATATATTTATACAATAGTATAGTAGTTTTCAAATTAGAAAGGTTCTTAAAAATCTTTTGGAGCTTTCAAGTGGAGGTTACTTCATTATTTTTAATTAGCTAAAAACAACTGCAAACTCTAAAGGCACATATAATTTGTATTATTATAGGTATATACAATATAATTGAATTTTATTGCACCTTTTTTATATCCAGCTACACCGCCGCTGACTAATCTCCACAATTTTTACTGTTCTTGAAATCTGTTGGCAAAACATTTATATCTGTCTATGACATTACACGTGCATATGTACTACATATATTACATATATGTGTCCTTTTATGTATTTAAGTTTTATGTCGCTTATGACAACTCTAAATTATGGAAATCTTTCCGCCAATCTAAAAGCATATATTACGCATTTCCCTCAGTCAATTGCGATTAACTTAATCTGCGCGGCACTTATCAGCAAACAAACGAAATTTATCATGCAGAAAGAAATCGCAAAAAAAAAAATGATTAAAAAAACAGCAACAATAAAAAAACCCAACAAGAAAACTAAACAAATAGCCATAAAACGGCGGCACACATGGAGCGCCAGAAAGTTTGCATGTTTTTAGAAATTACAAGTATAACATTGTTATTGACATTTCGCTCGCAAATCGCAAAAATGTAGATAAATATTATAATGATGTGAGCGATTACGTTTGGCAGAGCAGTTAGTTTATTGCACACTACACATACGAGTACTCATACAAGCTCATTAACTCGCGCCCGCGCTGCCAGCAGGCAATTTCATTAAGTGGCTTTCAGCTACAAAAGCAAACAGCAACAACAACAACAACAATGAGAGAGTAGATTATCAATGAAATGCATTGCATGCACATAAGTGCCTTTGTGTGTGTGTGTATAAAGAATGTTATGCAAGTGCTATTTGTAGTTGTAGTATTTATTCGCTGCTTAATCCACTTCGCAACCTTTTCAGCTTTTCTTTAAATTGTGCCAGCATGCAATGTCAACAAAAATCAGAATAAACTTTAACTTTGGCTGCACCGAAGCTGTAATGCCCTTTACAGGTGCATTTCTTATATCATAAAAGTATATAAAAAAATCATTATAATGATTTTAGTCGGTCAGTTTGTATGACAGCTATATGTTATGGTGACCCGATTTGAAAAAGTTCTTCAGCTATTTTAGCGTTGCCTTGGATAATAATCCATGCTAAAGTTGGTGAAGATATCTCATCAAATGCAAAAGTTTTCCATACAATGAGTTAATTTTAATCGGTAAGTTTGTATGGCAGCTATATGCTATAGTGATCCGATCTAAACAATTTATTCGGAGATTACATTGTTGTCTTAGAAAAATTACTCATGCCAAATGTCGTGAAGATATTACGTCAAATAAAAAAGTTTCCTGTACAAGTGCTTGATTCCGATTGTTCAATTTAGCAGCTTCTTTGTGAGAAAGGGACGTGTGCAGAATTTCAGATCGATATCTTAAAACCTGAGGATCTTGTTACCGTATTTACAAATTTATTTACAGAGCTAAATCAACTCAGGTCGTCACGCTGATCTTTTATATACATACTATATCTTTATAACGTCTCCAATGTATCTTTCTAGTGGGAAATTAAATATAATAAATATAATCACAGTCAAATTGTAGTAAATAAAATCATAAATACCGGACACCCTGTAGGAAATGTATCGCATGCGATCTTTATACTTCTTAATATGATGGCATGGCGATGTATTAGATTCAATCAAAGATAGTAACCCTTAGATTTTCCATTCTTATTTTCTTAGGCCAGTTTATGTCATTTATACGAGTTGTTTGTTCGATTCAATTTTTGAG